AAATAAGGAAATCTTGCCATTTGTGTCCAACATGAATGGACCTCAAGGATATTATGCTAAGTGAAATAAGTCAGACAGAGGACAAATACTATATGATTTTACTTACACGTGGAATCTAAAAAACAAACAAGCAAACAAAACAGAAACAAACTCATAGAAAGAGAGAACAAATTGGTGATTGCCAGATGGGAGGGTGATTGGGACACTGGGTGTAAAGATAAAGGGATTAAGAAGTACCAACTGCCAATTATAAAAATAGTCATGGGGATATAAAGTACAGCATAGGGAATACAGTCAATAATATTATAACAACTATGCATGGTGCCATGTGGGTATTAAACTTATTGGGGGGGGTCACCTTGTAAGTTATATAAATATCTAACCACTATGCTGTACACCTGAAAGTAATATAATATTGCATATCTACAATAATGGAAAAGAAAGTAGAGTTTTGGGATTTAGAGGCTCTGACCTAATGAATGCAAAAACAAAAGCAAAAGCAAAAAACTTCCTTTTCCTCTTTCTCTATAACTTCCTTATTCACTTAGGAGGTACTTTGAAGAACTTAGCATTTTCTTTTTCTTTTTCAAAATATTAAATGTATTGGGGTGGCATTGTTTAATACAATTATATAGGTTTCAGGTGTATAATTCTATAATACATCATCTGTATATTGTATTGTGTGTTCACCACCCCAAATCAAGTCTCCTTCCATCACCATTTATCCCCCTTTACCTTTTTCTTTTTTTTTTGTTTTTGTTTTGTTTTTTTTTTAATCCTCACCCGAGGACATTTTCCCATTTTTTGTACAGATAGAGTGGGAGGGAGAGAGAGGAAGAGATAGAGAGAGAGAAACATCGACGTGAAAGGGACACATCGACTGGCTGCCACCGCACAACCAACCAGGGCCGGGGACAAACTGCAACCGAAGTACGTGCCCTTAGCGGGAACCGAACCCGGGTCTCTCCGGACCGCAGGCCGACGCTCTAACCGCTGAGCCAAACCGGCCAGGGCCCCCTTTACCTTTTTGTATCTCCCCATTTCCTTCTGGTAATCACCATACTGTTTTCTTTGTCTATGAATTTTTTGTTTTTGTTTTTTACTTAATCCCTTCACCTTTTCCACCCAGCCCTGCTCCATTTCTAACAGCTGTCAGTCTGTTCTCTGTATCTATGAGTCTGTTTCTATTTTGTTTGTTAGTTAATTTTGTTCATTAGATTTCACATATAAGTGAAATCATATGGTACCTGTCTTTCTCTGACGGGTTTATTTCACTTAGCATAATACTCTCCAGGTCCATCCATGCTGTAGCAAAAGGTAAGATTTCTTTCCTTTGTTCTTATTTTTTACTTTATTTTTATTGTTGACACTGTCATAGATGTTCCCATTTTCCTCACTTTGCCCACCTCCACCCAGCCTTCACCCGCTACCCTTCCCTCTGGCCATCACCACACTGTTGTCTGTGTCCATGGGTTATGCATATATGTTCTTTGACTACTCCCTTCACCTTCTTTCATCCATTCTCCCCCACCCCCCCTGTATGACAGCTGTCACTCTGTTCCATGTATTCATGCCTCTATTTTTATTTAGTTCATTGGTTTATTTTGTTCATTAACCCAGTGAGATCATATGGCAATTGTCTCTGACTGGTTTATTTCACTTAACATAATAATCTCCAAAATTTCCTTCGTTTTTTTATGGTAGAGTAGTATTCCATTGTACAAATGTACCACAGCATTTTTATCCACTCATCTACTGATAGGCACTTGGGCTGCTTCCAGATCTTGGCTATTGTAACGCTGCAATGAACATAGGGGTACATATATTCCTTCAAATTAGTGTTTCAGGTTTCTTTGTATATATTCCAAGAAGTGGAATGGCTTGGACATAAGGCAGTTCCATTTTTAATTTTTTGAGGTAACTCTATACTGCTTTCCACAGTGGTTGCAACAACCTGCATTCCCACCAACAGTACACAAGGGTTCCCTTTTCTCCACATCCTTGTCAGCACTAGTTGTTTATTGATTTTTTTTTATGGTAGCCATTCTGGCAGGTGTGAGGTGGTATCTCATTGTGGTTTTAATTTGAATTTCTGTGATGATTAGTGACATTGGTATCTTTTTATATGTCTATTGGCCATCTGTATGTCCTCTTTTAGAAGTGTCTATTCAGATCCTCTGCACATTTTTAAATTGAATTGCTTGTTGTTTTGGTGTTGAGTTGTATAAGTTCTTTATAAATTTTGGATATTAACTCCTTATTAGATATCTCATTGGTGAATATATTTTCTCATTTAGTAGGTTCTCTCATTCATTTGTTGATGGTTTCTGTTGCTGTGCAAAACCTTTTTAGTTTGATGTAGTCCCATTTGTTTATTTTTTCTTTTGTTTCTCTTGCCTGAGGAGATATATCAGAAAAAATATTGCTACAAGAAATGTCTGGGATTTTACTACCTATATTTTCTTCTAGGATTTTTATGGTTTTGAGTCTAACATTTAAGTCTTTAATTCATTTTGAGTTTATTCTTATGTATGATGTAAGAAGGTAGTCTAGTTTCATTTTTTTTGCATGTATCTGTCCAATTTTTCCAAAACTATTTATTGAATTGACTGTTTTTACCCCATTGTATGTTCTTGCCTTCTCTGTCAAATATTAATTGACCATAAAAACTTGGGTTTATTTCTGGGCTCTCTATTCTGTCCTATAGATCTATATATCTGTTTTTATGCCAGTACCATGCTGTTTTGATTACCATGGCCTTGTAGTATAGTTTGATATCAGGTAGCATAATCCCTCCAACTTTGTTCTTTTTTCTCGAGATTGCTGTGGCTATTCAAGTTTTTTTGTGGTTCCATATAAATTTTTGGAATATTTGTTCTAATTCTGTGAAATACACCATTGGTATCTTAATAGAAAATGCACTGAATCTTTAGATTGCTTTGGGAAGTATGGACATTTTATTGATGTTAATTCTTTCATCCATGAACACAAGTATATGCTTCCATTTATTTGTATCTTCTTAAATTTCTTTCTTCAGTGTCTCATAATTTTCTGAGTACAGATCTTTTACATCCTTGGTTAAATTTATTTTTAATAAATAAATAAATTTATTTTTATTTTTTTGTTACGGATTTTTCTCCTTTCCCCCCATTAATGCCCTCCTCCCCATCCCGCCCGCCCCATCCCCAGCTTTGTTGTCTATGTCCATTGGTTATGCATACATGCATGTAAGTTCTGTGGTTTATCTCTTCCCCCCACACCCCGTTTTCTGAGTTTTGTGAGTCTGTACTTTACCTCTGTCTCTGGGTCAATTTTGTTCATCAGTTTGTTTAGTTCATTATATTCCACAAATAAGTGATATCATGTGATATTTGTCTTTCTCTGCTTGGCTTGTTTCACTTAGCATAATACTCTCCAGGTCCCTTTATGTCATCTCAAATGATAAGAGATCTTTCTTACAGCTGCATAGTACTCCATTGTGTACATGTACCACAGCTTTTTTATCCACTCATCTACTGATGGACACTTGGGCTGTTTCCAGATCTTAGCTATTGTAAATAGTGCTGCTCTGAATAGCAGAATTTTTTACTGATACAACACCCAAGGCAAGAGAAACAAAGGAAAAAATGAACACATGGGACTACATCAAACTAAAAAGTTTCTGCACAGCAAAAGAAACAATCATCATAATGGAAAGGGAACCCACTATATGGGAGACCATAATTGCCAATGATGCATCAGATAAGGGATTAATTTCCAAAATGCATAGAGTACTCATACAACTTAACAAAAGGAAGACAAAGAACACAATTGAAAAATGGGCAGAGGACCTAAATAGACACCTCACCAAACAGGACATACAAATGGCCAAGAGGCATATGAAAAAATACTCAAAGTCACTAATCATTAGAAAGATGCAAATTAAAACAACTATGAGGTATCGCTTCACACCTGTCAGAATGGCTGTTGTCAACAAATCATCAAACAAGTGCTGGTGAGGGTGTGGAGAAAAGGGGACTCTAGTACACTGCTGGTGGGAATGCAGACTGGTGCAGCCACTATGGAAAACAGTATGGTGTTACCTCAAAAAGTTAAAAATTGAACTTCCATTTGACCCAGTGATCCCACTTCTAGGAATATACCCTAAGAAGCCTGAAACACCAATCAGAAAGAATATATGTGCCCCTAAATTTATTTTTAGGTATTTTATTTTTATTTGATGCAAAAGCTTGGCATATTCCCCCTAAATTCTGAGGCTCCAGGAGATTCCATTGTATAGAATTGTTATGGCTGTTCCCTAAGGATGGCATTTTACACAAATTACCTTTTTATCAAATCTGTATTTTTTTTTAATGCATCTAAAAATGCTGTGTTTAGATACTACTTTTCTCTATCTTTCTGAATGCCTATTATCACGAGAAAGCGGTGGTTGGCAGAGCTGAACTGACAGTTATGAGACCTCATCTCTTATTTGAACTTCAGGGTGTGGGGAACATCTGTTTCCCCTTTCAGCTTCTCTTTTTTGAAATAATATTTATATTTAAGGAATAGTCATTCATTCATGCAGCACACATTGTTAGAGCCTCTGTCCTGTGCCTGTGGCGTGCGTGTGCACCCGTGTTGCATGTATGAGCATGCCTGTACAAGGATAGGCAGGAGAGCTTGAGTAGCTAAACCTGAGCTTCCAGTTTCAGGATCCATGGGGACAGACTGCACAGGGCATTAGAATTGTCTCATAACTCACAGGGAAGTTTTTGTTCTATTTTTCTTCTTTTTGATTTTATTTCCAGTTACATTTCTTTCTTATTGCTACCTTTCTTGTCATAAGAAAAAAAAAATACTGCTTTTATATTTTGAAAAGGCTGCAGTAGTCTGTCTTGATTTTGTTTGCTGGATGGGGATTGCTTTTGTATCCTGTGCTGGATGAAAAAGTCAAAGCCGATGTTTCTCTCTGCTCCAAGTTCTCTCCTTGGTGATACTTGTTTTCGTTTTACCTGCAGGGGCCAATGTGAATGCAGCAAAACTTCATGAGACAGCATTACATCATGCAGCCAAGGTGAAGAATGTGGACCTCATTGAGATGCTGATTGAGTTTGGAGGCAACATCTATGCACGGGACAACCGGGGGAAGAAGCCCTCAGACTATACGTGGAGTAGCAGTGCACCTGCCAAGTGCTTTGAGCACTACGAAAGTGAGGCCAGGTTCTCCATGTTGTTTGAATGATGCAATGCACTGTAGAACTGCACAGGAGACACTTATGCAAGAAACTCTGTTCTGAAAAAATATCAGATCATTTGTGAGTAAATAAATAATCTCAGAGTATGTTCATATGAGGCTGAGAATCTAGAGCCAATCCTTCCTTTTCAGGAAACAAAGTACAAATGATCTGGCTAAGGACAAGATGTTCTCTTTGGGTACAAATTTTTAAATGAGTTTTCATAGAATTAGAGTCAGAAGAGGCTTCAAACACCTATCAGTTGAAAAAAAGAAAAGAAAAGAAAAGAAAAACACCACGATTTATTCAAATTTTTGCCAGCCCTACTCAACCAAAATCCATTATGAACTCAGAGGCAAATTCCATCCATATCTGTCGGCTAACCATTTCCTGGGGAGATGTTTCTTTTCAATATAATTTACAAAGAAACATGGGGAAATGAATTTCACCAGTAATTTTTTTATCCTCACCCAAGAACATTTTAGACAGAGTGGGAGACAGGGAGGAAGAGAAAGAGAAATATCGATGTGTGAGAGACACATTGACTGGTTGCCACCCACACGACTCCAACCAGGGCCGGGGACAAACTGCAGCTGAGGTACGTGCCCTGAGCAGGAACCGACCCAGACCTCTCTGGTCTGCGGGCTAGTGCTCTAACTGCTGAGCCAAACTGGCCAGGGCTCACCAGTAATTCTTTTTATTTTTCCTTTCAAAGATCATTTTATTTTTAAATTTTTCATAAATTGAGCAAACTCTTTTTAGTTAATTTTTGTCTATTTTTGTCTTTTTAGTTAATTTAGTCTATTTTTGGCAAACACAGATCCTTCCAAAAGACAGGTCTTTGAGGCCAAGCTCTGTTTTGCAAATGTCCCCGTGCCTCAGCTGCCAGGGACCTCCAGGCCTCTTCCACCTTTGGCCCTAGTTTGCTTGCATTTCTGAACCCCAGCTCCAGGCTAGTCTTTAGTCCTGAGGTCCTGACCCTCTGCACTAGGACATGCATTGCATAGTCTGCTGGAGCTGTGATATGCATCAGTTTGGTGCCCTGAGGCACTCAATAGCCAGAACAGAGCCTGTGGCCTGGAACAGTAGGAACTGGTGGCCAGCACCAGCCCAGGACTAACCCTTGTTCTGTCCCTCATTTGTCTGGAACTTTGACAAACAAGTCTACTAGCTGTAGATCAGTGCTTTCCTGACAAATCTTTGTGCTATGTTATAACATTATGGGGCAAAAATCACACACACACACACACACACGTGCGCGCGCGCGTGCAAAATCCCCCAGAAACCCCTCACAAAATGAAACCCCTCTGGGCATCACTGGAATTCCATTTCCTGCTCTTCCTTCCTTGGGCCCTGGCTGTTCTTCCTGGTGGACTTCCAGAGAAGGTTTGCTGGACATGTCCTATTTCCAGGAAAAGGGAAGTGTTTCCAGTTCTTGATTTTTTTTTTTTTATCCTCACCCGAGGACACTTTTCCATTTTTTGTTCAGATAGAGTGGGAGGGAGGGAGAGGGAGAGAGAGAGAGAGAAACATCGATGTGAAAGGAACACATCGAGTGGCTGCCACCCACACGACCAACCAGGGCCGGGGACAAACTGCAACCGAGGTACATGCCCTTAGCGGGAACCGAACCCGGGTCTCTCTGGACCGCAGGCTGACGCTCTAACCACTGAGCAAACTGGCCAGGGCCTGTTCTTGATATTTTTTAAGTTGAAGGATGCTGATCTATGTTCAACTATGTTAAGCTAACCTCATGTGCTTCCTGTTCCCTTTTTTCCAGAGACGCCTCTAACCCTGTCACAACTCTGCAGAGTGAGCTTGAGGAGGGCTGCTGGTGTCAGAGGGCTGGAGAAAATCGCCAAGCTGAACATCCCTTCCCGGCTCATCGATTACCTTTCCTACAACTGAGCTGCAGGCCCGGGAGGCGGGAGCAGGCTGATGGCACCCTGGCTGCTGGACTTGCTGAGCCCAGCGTTGTCTGTCTGAAGCCCTCAGTTGCTATAGATAGAACAACGTTCCCCAAGTCCCTGTTGGCCATTCTGTTTCGTCTTCTCTGTAGACTCCTGGAGAATATTTCCAAGGCACTGGGAAGGCCCTGCCTCAGCTTCTCCCAGAACTTTGCTCTAACTTTGGTGTTCCCAGCCATCCAGCTATCCTCTTTCACTGACTTTCCTCAGAAGGACTCTTGGGAGACTCTTCTGGAAGCACAGGGAAGGCCAGGCAGGACTGGGGTCCAGGGTCGTGCTGTCGATTTCCACATGCCTGGGACGTCCAGGAATGTGGTGCCATCTCTGACTCATTCAGCAGTAGGCAGCCCTGGAGGTTCAAAGGGAGGAGCCTGAGCTACAGAGGGTGGGCTTGTGGGAGGTAAAGTACTGACCATGTGACCTGGGTTGGCTGCACTGGTGACATCCTCCACTTGGATGCTTTTTTCTGAAGCACTTTCCAAGGCCCACCTGCACCCAGGTGTACCCATCACTCAGGGACTTTGTACGGGTTTTATGGGGGAAGGCTCAGGGTCTTCATTCCCTACAACCAGCGCAGTGTTTCATAGGAAGTTTTTCTTCAGTTTTAGGTCTCGACTTAAAAAGTTTATGTGAGGGATAAAAACACTTTCAGAAGATATATAGGCTGTAACATAGGTTTTGTTAATGGATCTTTAAAAAAAAAAAAAGGTAATGTGAAGGTGTGTTAGCACATATTACCATGAGCAGTCATTTCCAATGTAAAGGATTGTTAGGAAATGCTTTGGAGATTATTTTTAATCTTTTTACAGTTGCCAAATAAATTCTTTTCACCCTAAGTTTTGCTAACTCCTTAAAGTTCTGAAGTTGGTAGAAGAGGTTGCCAGCACCAAGTGGGTATTACCAACCACTGGTTCGTGTATTCTGCAGATGCTTGTGGAACATCTATTATGCTTAAGGCATTGTCTCAGTGCTTTGAACTGGAAAGAAATTGGACTCATTGTCATAAGCTCATTATGAGAGTTTTGCAAGCTGTTCCTATAGTCATAGAAACAAGTAGTTCTACATTATAAGTCATGTGATGAAGTATTAAGAATATTCAGACTGCATTTGTCTAAGATTCTGTATTGTAATTTAAAAAACAAACAAACAGAAAATCAGGGAGTTAACTAGGTGACTTTGTGTAATTAGTTCAGGTATATTTGGTTTCTGGGTAAACAGAGAAGACACCGCTTGTGAACACCCCAGAAATGTGGAGGTCACCACATTCTTCCAGAGAGTGTGGAACAGAATGAGTCTGAATTGTCCAAAGTAATGCCAAGTGTGCTACACTGCCAGAAGCGTCTGCACAGCTACCTGGTTGGGACCCCAGATCTGGTGGAAAGTTTCATGCTGGTTGCACAGTTACTTTCCAACTCACCGTTGCAGCCATGGTTATGCCATTCTATGCTGAGAGTAAGAGCCACTCCCATTTGGTTATAGTCTTAGATACAAGTTTTGGGTAAATCACTGTTTCTGTATGTACTAATAACAATGATAAAGAAAAAACATTGGGTTCTGCCGTTCCATCTTTGTAACAGAAGCTTGCCTCTAACAATGAACTGGTAACATTTCCATAAGTGGGTGCACAGAGTTCAGAATCCCAGCCCCACACTTGCTGCTCAATAAAATGTGTTGAATAGAGTCCATGCTTGTGTTCACACGCCTCTTTTCTTGATGGGAGCAGCAACACTGGATGGGCTTCATTCTGTGTGTATCCTGAGAGGCCACTGTCATCTTCTCCATACTTCGGAAGGTCAAGTGACAGAGCTATGCTTGTCTGATTCCCACCTTCCTGGCTCTCTCCTCATCTCCTACTGCTGATCTCAGTGCCACCATCATGTGGAGAGACACTGCCCAAGGGATCAGGTGACTAATATTTTAGGCCTCCTACTAGTCTCTACATTTCCCCCTAGCTTTATTGAGCTGTAATGGATAAATAATCTGCCTGTACCCATAAGTGGGTGTGTGACTCTGGACAAGTTTTTCCAGTCCTCTGCACTTAGGTGTCCCCAGCTGCAGAACAGGGGTAGGTCAGTCTTTGATCACTAAAAGGATGTTGATGATCAACTACTGAATCTTACAGATGATAAATGAGGCCCCGCTAGCCTCATGGTGTTTTTGAGGCTGAAACTAGATGATTAAAAGGTGCCCTGAAAAGTATAAAGTGCTCCCCAAATGTAAGTTGTATGGTTATGACTGGACTTTGGTTTTGTAGATCTTGTAACTGTAAATGGCTCTCTTCTAACTTTGGGATAGTACCACCTATCTCAGGAGGAATATATTCAGAAGACCTCTCAGTTTACATTTTAAAACTTAATGTGCAGCCCTGGCCAGTTTGGCTCAGCGGTTAGAGCATCGGCCTGCAGTCTGGAGAGACCCGGGTTCAGTTCCCGCTAAGGGCACGTACTTCGATTGCAGTTTTGAGAAGACATTTGAAACATAGATAAATGATTGGTAATCAAAATATATAAAGATCTTTTGAAAATCATCAAGTAAAATGTTAACAACCCCCCCCCCCCACCAAAAAAAAAAAAACAGGCAAAGACTATGAAGAGGAAATTTACAAATGTCCCCCTAGCAGGAAAGGATGGTTGGTCATAATCAGAGAAATGCAAATTAATGAATATGTAATTCAACAAAATGATACCAATATATATCATCATCTCGATACAGATTAAAAGGTCTGGCAGTTCCTTTTTTTATTTTTAAATCATTGTTATTTTTCAATGATAGTTGACATACATTATTATATTAGTTTCAAGTGTACACCCCACTGACAAGACATTACATAACTTACTAAGTGTTGATCCTGAAAAAAACTCATACCCTTCTGATAGTATACATAGTTATTAGAATATTAATGAAATGACTATATCCCTATGTTGTACTTTACATCCCTGTGACAATTTTGTAACAATCAATTTGCATTTCCCAATCCCTTCATCTTTTTCACCCACCTCTCTAACACCCCTCCCATCTGCCAACAGTCAAAATGTACTCTATATCTATGAGTCTGTTTCTGTTCTGCTTGTTTATTTCACTTTTTAGATTCAATTGTTGATAGATATGTGTTTATTGCCATTTTATTGTGCATATTTTTAATCTTTTTCTTCTTCTTAAAGAAGACCCTTTAACATTTCATATAATACTGGCTTGGTGGTGATGAAATCCTTTAGCTTTCTCTTGTCTGAGAAGGTCTTAATCTGTCCTTCAATTCTGAATGAGAGCTTTGCTGGGTAGAATAATTTTGGTTGTAGGTCCTTGCTTTTCATCACTTTAAATATTTCTTGCCAATTCTTTCTGACCTACAAAGTTTCTGTTGAGAAATCAGCTGCAGTCTTATAGGAGTCCCTTGTGGGTAACTAATTGCTTTTTTCTTCCTGCTTTTAAGATTCTGTCTTTAACCTTTTGCATTTTAATTATGATGTGTCTTGGTGTGGCCCTCTTTGGGTTCATCTTGTTTGGGACTCTGTACTTCCTGGACTTGTATGTCTATTTCCTCACCAAGTTAGGAGAGTTTTCTGCCATTATTTTTTCAAATAAGTTTTTAATTTCTTGCTCTCTCTCTTCTCCTTTCAGCACCCAAATGATGCAAATGTTTATATGCTTGAAGTTGTCTAAGAGGCTTCTTATACTGTCCTCATTTTTAAAAATTCTTCTTTCTTTTTGCTGTTCTGATTGGGTGTTTTTTTGCTTCCTTATATTCCAAATTGCTTATTTGATTTTCAGCTTCATCTATTCTACTGTTGATTGCCTGTCAATTATTCTTCATTTCAGTTAGTATTTCCTTCATTTCTGACTGGTCCTTTTTGATACTGTTGAGGTTCTCACCAACTTTACTGAGTATCCTTATAACCAGTGTTTTGGACTCTCTATCTAGTAGATTGCTTGTCTCCATTTTGTTTAGTTTTTTTTTTCTGGAGTTTTGTTCTTTTCCTTCATTTGGAATGTGCTTCTTTGTCTCCTCATTTTGGCAGCCTCCCTGTGTTTGTTTCTATGTATTAGGTAGAGCTGCCATATCTTCTAGGTTTGGTAGAGTGGCCTTATGAAGCAGGTGTCCTGTCATCTCTAATAGCTCAGCCTCCCTGATCACCCAAGCTGGGTACTTGAGGTGGGTCACACCCTGTATGAGCTGTGTACACCCTCCTTTAATAGTTGAGCCTTGATTGCTGTTGGCATGTCAGTGGGAGGGATTTACCCCCAGGCTGATCAGCTGTAAGGACTGGCTGCTACCACCATGAAGATCAGCTCTGCAGGGGCCCACCCCACAGAGTAGGACCTATGTCAGTGGGGTTCCAGTGCCCTCTGAGTTGGCCCCTTGAGTTTGTTGCTTATGGAAGTTGGATGGTGATGCTTTGATGTGGTGCACTGGCTCTGGGGCCTCTCAGGAGGTCAGGCCAAGGTCAGCCACCATATGTGTTCTGCCTGAGGCTACCTGGCATGAGCTAAAAAGTGGTCTGCAAATAGCTCTGCTTGTGCTGGGCTTGCAGGTGCTCAGGTGAAGCCAAGCTGTGAACCAAGGCCAGCTGCTGCTAGTGCTGGGCCTGGGGTCACTTAGCTGAGGCCAAGTGCTGCTTGTTTGAGAGACTGTAGAAAAATTCAAAGCATGAGCCAAGACAGGTATGGAAAAGCCACTGGAAATAGCTTGAGTGGGCCTGAAAGTTGCGGGAGGTGGGGACTCAGGGAATTACCAGGGTAGGGTGAACAGTGTGAGCCAAGTTGATGGAGTCTCAGATATGATACCTGCCTGCTGACTCCATGTGGGGGGAAGGACTCAGAACAGAAACAATGGCCTCTACCAGCACATCTCTCTGGGAGAATGCTGCCCCCTACCCCCAGCTCTTGCCCTGATGCCAGACAATTCAGTTCCTCCCTGTATGTCTCTGGTGCCTTTCAAACTGCTTCCCCAGCACTGGAACTCAGAGTGAATCCTAGTAAGTCTGTGCATGGGCCCTATAAGAGGACCTGCCTGGGACTCTTGCAACCTTCCATTTTCCACAGCCTCAATCTCCACTGGTTTTCACAACCTAAAGTTATGGATACTTCTGTTTCTGACACTAAAACCCTGAACTGGTGGGCCCGGTGTGGGACTGAGACCCCTCACTCCTCGGGGGAGACCTCCGCAGTAAGGATATCCCTCCTGATTTTCATCTGCCACATGTGTTTGTTGGGCTAGCTAGTTCCGTGTCCCTGCCCCTCCTACCAGTCTCGATGTGGCTTCTTCTTTAATTCCCTAGTTGTAGGACTTCCATTCAGCCAGATTTTAGGCAGTTTTGAATGATGGTTGTTCTGTAGTTTAGCCATAATTTTGATGTGGTTCTGGGAGGGGCCAAGTAACTTGTTTACCTACGTGGCCATCTTGACCAGAAGAGGTCTGACAGTTTCTTAAAGTTGATGGACCATGTGGTAAATGGGAACTCATGGCTTGCTAGTGGGGTATAAATTGATCTGTGTATTTTAGAGAGCTATTAGATAATTAAAAGTTAAAAGTGCATAGCAGCCTGGACAGTGTGGCTCAATTGGTTAAGTGTTGTCCCGTGCACAAGGAGGTTGCTGGTTTGATTTCGGGTCAGGGCACATGCCCAGCTTGTGAGCTCAACCCCCAGTAAGGGGGTATGTGGGAGGCAGCCAATCGATGTTTCTCATTGATATTTC